TCATCTCTCCCTCCTCTTACCCCATACCTTTATCCCTATTCCCTACTTCTCTTCCTATCCCCTATCCCTCCTCTTACCCCATACCCCTCCTCCCCCCCACTTACAGTGTCCCCAATGTGATCATGTACGCTGTCAGGCGGGCCGAGCCGCAGTTCAGCAGCCCGATGAGGGTGAGGCAGCCCAGCAGCAGCAGGAACTGCTGTACGGGTGCAAGGTCTATACCTGCGGGGTATTGAATGTGTGTATGTAGGTATGTGCGCGTATGCAGGTATGTACGTGTGTTTAGAAAAAAGGGGTTGGGGGGGTCGAAAAGAGGGGGAGTGTAGCGATGTAATGTCGGCAGGGACGGTACTCACTGGCTCAAGTCAACAAAAGAGGCCCCCTTCCCCCCCCTGAAACCTTCACACCTCAAACTCAACTATGCCACCCAGCCCGCCCCACGCCATGCCGTACTGCTCTCACCGTACTGCACTCGTATGGCAGCTGCCACCAAATGTACGAACGTGTAAACGTTGGAAGCTGAGAAGGCGGCCTGGCCCATGGTGAGCACCCAGCCGGTCATCCAGCAGGCTAGGTTTCGGAGCCGCTTTGGAGCCAGCTTGTACGACCAGTAGTACAGCGCCCCCGAGGTGGGGTAGGCGGAGGCGAGCTCCTATCCGTGCGAGAAAGAGGGGGTGGGGGTGGGCGCGTCAGGCGGAAGAACAACCGGCAAGCCAACGAGAGCTGTGGGGTCTGGGTAAAGAGGGAACTTATTGAGTGGGGGTCCAGGGAGGGCGGGAGGGAGGGGGTTCCAAGGGGAGGGGGGACGGGGGGAGAAAGGAGGGAGGGGGGGAGGGAGAGAGATTATACGATGACGAAAAGGGGGGAAGGCGTGGGGAGTCAACGGATGGTGCCGACACATACACATACACACATACACATACACACACATACGCCGATAAAGCACCGATCTTCAGTCAGCAGTCCAAAAGCGGTGAGGTCACGTGGCGGTTAGGAGGGCAAGGAAAACACAGACGGACCCGGATATGTGCCGTACGGTACGGCATACTCACCGCCATGCTAAGCCCCACAGAGGTGGTGAAGAACGTGACCACCAGCCAGCCCCACCTGCGACCAGTGCACGTCCGCATGACCTCACTACCCATACCATTAGAAATACATCATTGGAGTGGAAGAACAGACAGACAGACAGACAGACAGACAAACAGACAGACAAACAGACAAAGCAGGCAGAGTAGTCAGATGGACAGGGACCATAACGCCTCTCCTGACACTTACGTCATAACGACCGGGCCGCCGTACGTCAATCCAATGCCGTACGTCCCTGCACACATATGCGCGTAATAGTAAAGCGCCACAAAAGACAACAAGGTCGCCAAGAGAGATTCTCTTTACAGTTCTTCAAGTGCTGAGCTATTCGGTTGACTTAGGACTGGGCGGATGGGTGGATGCGTACGGCAGCGTCGAGGCCACCCGGGGCCAACCCCTTCCCCCCCAAAAAACACACAGGCACACACAACCTAACGGCAGGATGGGGCGGGACTGCTACTGGGTCTGGCCGTTAGATGACCCTCTAGACGCCCCATCCAAGGACATGTCGCAGCCAAAGCGATTGCCGCCTTAGCTCCCCGCCTGGGCCCACGGCGGGCTCAGCTCAGCTCAGCTCAGCTCAGCTCACCACCCGCGGGCGCTGTCGCGAGAGGTAGGTGTCCGGTCCGGTCTAGGGGCCCTAGGGGAGAAACGGCGGGTGGTGGTTGACAACACCACACCTTCCCACACTTGCTGTCTCGGGCAGCGGCATCAGAGCCCGGCGGTAGCAACCGTAGCAGCAGCAGCGGCACCACCACCACCACCACCACCACCAGGCTGTGCGGCCCTAAGCCTCCCGGAGGCCCCCCCCCCCCGGACCCTGTGTAGGGACCTATAGGCCTATAACGCCGGGTGAGACCCACCCACTGCGTGACGCCACCCACAACCTCTGAACAACCCGGCCCCTGGCCCCGGCTTTGCCTAGTTTCCCCCCCTCCTTTTACGTCTGGTACACACTTGCCCTGGCAGCAGCTTCAATCGTGTGTGGTTCGTCTTTCCCCCCCCTCCCGCACCACCACCCGGAGCCACATCGTGGTTCGTCTTTCCCTCCCCGCCCCACCTTGCGGGTCCAAGGACACGTTCTTAGATGTGCCCACTAGCGCCTGCTTCAAGGCTGGCACACACACACACACACACACACACACACACACACACACACACACCACACCGCCGCCGCCACCCCTCAAAACGTGAAACGACCTGTTCCCCCTCCCCCCGAACTAAAATCCTGTTGAGGGGGCCCCCGGGGGAAAGGGTATTGCCGCCGTACAGCGTCGGAAAGATTGCTGCCATTATCTCAATCCTGTAGGAGGCGGGGGTAGGTTTCAGATCTGTTCAGATCACAGCCTCCTCTCTCCCTCCGCGCTCCTCCCCTTCGCCCAGCGTTTTTGACCCCTCAACTTTTCACCCGCCGCCCATCACCCTGCGCACCAACCCACCCCCTAGGGCAGTCAGGCTGCTGAGCGCCGTAAAGCTGCTGCCGAAGCAGTTGAACAACGTAAACCTGCGAGTGGTGCGGGGGACCGGGGTGTGCCGGGTTGGGCGGGTGGGGAGCGACGGGGAAGGAGGGCGGGAGGAAGGGTTATTTGGGAATTTCGTACATGCGCACGGCACATGGACAAGCTCTCCCCCACCCTCCGCCACTGCGACTCACTCGCGACCGAGCTCCTGTCGGTATCCCAGCATCAAGAGTTTCACCTCATCGGTGTTAGCGCGCCGCCGACCCGGAATGCGAGTCGCGCCACGGGAAGCAGATCTTTGCCAACGAAATGCGGATGCGGGCGGTTCATCTTTGCCCTGTGCGCTTGTAGGTGGCGGGAAGGAAGGAAATGGGGCGGGTAAGGTGAGGCGCGGCTTGGCGGTCCGGGACGCTCGTTGGGCTTGGGGAGGCATGTGGATCGGCCATGGGCCCCGAGCAAGCTCGTCATAGGCTACGCGGGATCTAAACAGGTTAGGGATTGCGGTGGGCGAATATATATACGAGGCGGAGGTAGATAGAGGCACTCTTTTGTGAGGGAAGGAAGCGCTCTGGGATGGCATTATCAACATGTCAAGTGAGACCGTTGTGACCAGACGCCGGCACAAATTCCACAGTTTCAGGCACATATAACGGGCATTCGTTACTTATTTAAACCCGCGTCCAAAGTCGAAAACACAGCCTGAAAAACCGTTGGTGCTGTGCAAACGCAGTGTTTAAAGTCCTCAACGGAATGGAAATATCGTGTTCAAGCTTACCGCCAGCCCGGGAGACCTCATTTGTATTCAAGGGGTCCTGCCGCGGTAGCAAAGACCCACGAATTGGCGTTCAGCTCGAAGACTCCATATCAATCTTCGCAACCCCTTTCAACTGCGCATTCACGTGTTTAACTAATGTCTTGAACCGCTTCACTGTAGCATACCTGTGTGCTTTACAAATGTTATAAAAGTTTGCCTCAATTACAAGTAGAGTCCTAACGTCGCATGTAAGCAGGCAAGTTGCGGAATGTCGCTTATCCAACAACCCCATCGCATAATCATGCACGCTGTGCAAGCCATACGGCAGGACTTGACCAAGCGATATGCCAAACAACTGACACCACGTTTGAACAAGGTGGTGAAAATTGCAGACCGTACGGCGTTTTCACAGTCCTACCCTTTAGTGCATAACTCCTGTTTCAAAGTATATGACTAACCACCACGAAGTCAAACCGCAATATAAATGCGAAGTCTGCATTATGGGATACGCACATAGTGCCCCAACAGATGGCCAGAGGCACCTTTATGGTTCCATTGCAGTACCATTCCAGAAGTCGTCACAGCATGCCAAATAGCCTCTAAGGAAACATCTGGACCTCCAATGAATAAATGTGCATCCGTCCGGGAATCCCATCCTCACGCAATAAACTGCATTTTTGCATAAGAATTTCACACGACTCTGCTGTAAAACCTTCAATCTGTCGTGGAAAAACAACCCTACAATACAAAACCTGTGTTTCCGGCCTTATTTGGGTTTGGCCCTCCGAAGCACTGCAGCACCTTGCGGCTCAATGCGCACTTTGCAGAATGTGTACCCACCCATAGGCACGCGCACAACCTTCAACCACTCCAAAACCTGCGGGTCATCCGACTCATTCGCTCAATTCCTTCAGACCTACAGCTCCCCTTCTACAGCCTAGACGCAACCCAACCGCCCTGCATAACGAGGAACACACCGAAAACCTATTCCCGCAGTCCTAACACCCGCGGCCCCTTAAACCGCACGCTACGCCTGCAATTCCTTAACTTTCACACTCCATCTGTTCCGGCCCGTCCACCATTCCCCCTAGACCCCTCATTCTTTCTCAGACGGTTAGTAGCCGCGCCCCGCTTGTCATGTCATGCTCTCTCTAGCGCTCATTCGCCATGCTGCTGCTATAGCTACTGCTGCTGCTGCTGCCGTTGCGACGCTGGCGGCGGAGGCACAGGCTCCGTCAGAAGCTTTACGCTGTCAAACACGGTCATCAAGTTCACGTCGTTCAGCAAATACACCGGACACACCCGCCCCAGCAATCCTTGGCCCCCTCCTGGGGCCCCGCCTGCTGCCGGCCCTGATGCCGCCGCATTGAGATCCTGCCCTGATAACTCCACCCTAAGCCGGTCCGTAGACCTCTCCATGATAGCCCGCATGGACAGACATACAGCCAAATCCAGGCTGCCTCGCGACAAATACTCGTGTATCTGGTTGAAGGCCTTGTTCCAGAACCGTATCGAGTATGAATCGGCTGCGTGGAATTTGAGAACCAGCGCAATCACGACGGCTTGGAGCACCCTGTGCAAGACAGGCGTCCATGCATCCGTTCGTTTGTTTGTTTGTTGGTTGGTTAGTTAGTTGAAAGGCTCCGTACGTTCATTGTACAGGATAACTTAGGGTATGTTAAGCATGGGATGGTAAAGTCGTCTGAGAAGTGGAGAAGGGAGTTCGGCACACATGGTTACGCACCCTATATACCAAATCTCCCACCGATTCCCCGCCATATCCCCACCCGGCCGCATCCATCCGACCCCCTATGGCCCCCCAGTCCTACGAGAGCCACCCTCACCCTCCTCAGCCCACACCTGACGGCCAGCCGTGGCGATACCGTCGACTGGAACCACAGCCCCTCCACCTCTGCCCGAAGCCGAGTGATATCGTTGCTCTGGACCGTCAACATGCAACACGGCCGCTGCGCCGCACAGTCCGCATCACTATCCGGCCGCCAGCCCAAATCCAAAGAGGCCGTGAACAAGTCGCCGTAGCAGCCAAGAAGACGACCGGCGATATCAGCGCTGGCGGAGCTGGCGGAACTGGCGGAACTGGCGGCGGCGCCCCAACCGCCTGCGGCTGCCGCCGCCGTCAGCGGCAGCATTCCTCCCTGCATGGCTAGCAGCTCGGCGACGCGCTCCTCATCCAGTTTGAGATTTAAGGCCAGCCTGTGGGTGCGGGTTGGGGGCCCGGGAAGGGGTGGTCGGCAGCGCGAGGACAGGGGAAGGCTGCCGGTAGAGGTGGCGAGGAAAGCGTTGTGAAGCGCTGTGGTGCGGACGTTTGTGGCCGGTGACGGCGGCCCTACATGGCCTCGGATGGCCGATATACATACATACATACATGCGCGCGTTCACAGACGCCGCCGAGATGTTGGACACTGTCCGCGCAGCAGCCCCCCAGTCACACCCACTTTTTGACACAAAGCTGTCCGACGACGGGGTTCTGCAGCAGCGGCGCCGCACCCGAAGCCAACGCGCTGCCCTCCGGCATGCCCTCCGCTAGCGCCGCAGCCCACTCATGTCCAATCTCGAACAACGCCGACCCAGATGGTGTCAATGCCACTGGCGACGCAGGCCGCTGCTGCTGTTGTTGTTGTTGTTGTTGTTGTTGTTGCGGTTTTTGACGATGGTGGTGGTGGTGGTGCTGCCAAAGGCTGGCTGACGGTGGCTGGCCGCCGCCACCCAGCACGCCCTGGACAGCAGCAGCTCTCGTAAACACCGCCTGAGCGGTGCTCTCACGGGAGGGAGGCTCCGTCAGCGGCGGCGGCAGCAGAACGCCGCCGCCGTTGCCACCGGCGACCTCCTGCGACAGCTGGTGCTGGTGCGTCACAAAGACTGTGTTCAAACCGCCGCCGCCGCCGCCACCGCCGCTGCTGCTGACGAACGCAGCCGCCGCGACCGCGGCAGCTGCAGCGGTGCTGCTGACAGCGACAGGGCTGCTACTGCTGGTACCGCCATCCCCACCGCAAGTAGGTGTGGTCGCGGCGGCACCAGCTGCCGCTGCGGCCGCCGCCGCCGCCGCCGCCGCCGTGGCGGTGGCGCTAGCAGCTGTTGCAGCTGCGGCGGCACTGTTGTGTGTAGTCGACAGGGAGTACATGACCTCCGTGAGCAGGCTGGTAATGGACTTGGTGGCTTCCTCGCGGTCGGGCAGTTTCACATCCAGAAGGAAAGAGCCATCCGGGTCCATGGCTAAGTCCAGCGGCACCTAGGAGAAGACGTGAGAGACAGCGAGAGAGATAGGCGTGAGCAGCGGCCCATCAAAACCATACGTGATAAATACCGTATACCTCGAGTATACCTCAAGGTGCATGCAGGATGGTTTCCAAAAAGCAAAAGGCTGCACCAAGGTGTTGCTGTATACAGGAAAAGGTAGAAAGAGAGAGGAGATTAGCAAATAGGACACGCCCAGCCCGACCCCGAGGCGAGGAGTGTGAGGGAGGATGGTGTTGTGCAAAAGCGTTGGGAAAGGTGTCAATCAGTCGCGAATGTCCAGGCTGCTGCAAAAGTAAGGGTGGGGTTTGAGGCGAGGGGAAAGGAGGGACGGAGAAGCGAGCAAGGAAGGAGGGCAAGGAATACACGACCCCATGGAATACAGCAACACCTTCCCCAGCAAGAGCAAAACTCGGCCGCGTATGCACCTTGAGCTTCAGCGGCCCGTCGTACGACACGCTCTCTGCACCAAACTGAAACACCCGCCGGTCCGCCGATGCGAGCAGAGTTGCACCAGCACAGCGGAAGCGCTGTTTAAACGTCCTCAACATCTTGGCCAGGGAAGCATGCCACAAGTCGAGCAGCTCCAGCTGCACTTCCAGCGGCTCCCGATGGGGACCCCCCGCCGCCGAGTCGCCGCCGCTGCCGCTGCCACCGCCACCACCACCGCCGCTGCCACCGCCCCCACCGCCGCCTCCACGGCCGGCCCTGCACAGGAAAACGCAATCCCCCGCCAGTCGTGTAGGCGCGTGTGTGTGGAGGAGGGGGGAAAACTATGCAAGCCTTTCCCATCCGTCACCCACTCATCTCCTTCCACGACCCACCCCTTCTCCCCTTCCCCGCCCCCCACACAGCTCTCCCCAGCATCGCCGTCTGTCCCCGTCCTTTGCTTGCAGCCTCACCCCTTGGCTTCAAACTCCCTAGCCAGGCGCTCAAAGTAGTCCCGCAGAGTGGTCAGCGCCGCATCGCAGTCCACGCACAGCGACAGACGCTCGATGGTGAAGGCGATGCGCAGCGGTTTGCGAACAAGGCGGGCCACGGGACCCTCCATGAAACTGGCCAGAGGAAAACGGTCCTCTGCGCAGAAGGAATAGAGAAAGAGAAGCAGCAACGGGGCCGACATAGGGGGGAGGAGGAGGAGGAGGAGGATGCTGGGGACGCTACAGTTACTAGTGCTGCTGCTGGGGAGGCCGCTGGGGTTGCTGCTGGTGTTGTCAACCTTCCACTCCCCCCCATCCTCCTCCCAGCCCCCTCACCTGGCCTAACTCCGTGGTATTCAAAGGCGGCCTGCGGAGGGAGGAGAGGAATGGAGGGGCGGTGGAGGTGAACGGAGGGGCACTGGTTCTAATGTGTGGAAGTAGTGCTGGTGGTGATGGTGATGGTGGTGGTGATGGTGGTGATGATGGGGCCGTGGCGGCGGTGTCGGTCGTGCTGATTTGTTGTAGTTGTGGTTGTTGCTGATGACGATGGGGTGAAGTGGTTGACGTGCGGGGGACAAAGAGGGCCACTGCATTCGGGAGGGTGTGTGGCGGGCGGGAGGGCGTGCGCAACTGTGTCCCTAACGTGCAGGGCTGCAGATGTGTATACACGTGCGCCGAGGACACTCTCCACGCACGGCACCCACGTCCCCAGAGACACGCATACACACCTAAACACAGACAGACAGACAGACAGACAACCCACCTGCTCACCCGGGGTAAACGTGCATTCCAGAACCAAAATTCCCAATCCCCAAGGCACCTAAACCACAACACCGACACCAGCACCGACACTACCTGCAGTGCCCGATTAAGCAACCCCATGAGCGGTGTCCACAGCTGGCTCCGGCTGTAGGTGGTGTAGAACCTGCGGTCGGATAGGGGATGTACGGATGGCATACATGGCGTACTTCGCAGTTCGGCCTGATGCAGCAACGGCCGGCCCACGGCCCACGGGAACAAAGCAACAATATCTGTTCGGTCGTCAAAGCCCGTTACAGTTTCCTAGTTGCCATTCACACCAACATACATACATACATACAGACAGACAGACAGACAGACGCACCCAAGTGTGCCGCAACGACGAAGAGGAGCGTCCACCACCACAGACGAGCTGTGTGCATGAGCATCACCTTGCATAACCTCAACACCTCAGCCTGGCTTTGCGTCTCCCAGTAGTTGAGGTTGTTTCCTCAAAGGAAAAAAATATATTTATTTATTTATTCCTTCTCGCGGCTGCGTTCCTTCAAATATATAAGCGCGTGCGCGCGCGCACACACACACACACACACACACACAAAGACATACACACAAAGACATACACACACGCACACGCACGCACACACACGCACAGGCGCTCACCTGCACAGGCCGCTGATGCTGGGCGTGAAGCCCGCGCTATCCGGCATCAGCGTGGGTCGCCCACAGCCCCCAAACAGCTCCGAAACCGCGGCCGCCTGCGCCTCGCTCAGGCCCAACATGGCACGTGCTCGGCTGGCTGCCGCCTGCACTGCCGCCCATTGGGCTCGTCGGGCTGGGTCGCTAGGGGGCTGGCGGGGGGGGCAGCAGGGCGGAACAAAAGGCAACGACAGCAGCATCAGCAGCAGTATAACAGCAGTATGGCAGCAGCATAAACACCGTCATCATCATCATCATCAGCAGCAGCGCAGCATTGTGAAAGACAAGCAACACAAGCGGCAACGCAGTGGACAGCATTAAAGGGGCGGCCGCATTCGAGGCATGGCGGGTCTCACTGCCATACTGACATACCGTAATGGGGCCCCCAATCCGCCCAAAACACAACCCCGGGCCCCCAGAACTGTTTCACACATCCTCACCAGCTCCTGCACGCGGCTCGGTTCATTGAAATATACACAACCACGCACACAATGCGCGACGCACACACGCGCGCGCACATAAACACACACACACACACACACGCACACACGCGCGCGCACACATACACACACACGCGCGCGCACATGAGTGCCATTTCACACGCGCACACACACACACACACGTGTCACCCCCGGGTGATCCTCCCAAGCCCCCCCCCACCTTGGCTGGCGGTGCGATGCTCGTGACGGTGGTGGACAGCGAGGGCCCTGCCACCTTGAACTCCCCGCTCAGCGCCTGGGTCTCCCCACTGGCGGCCGTGTAGGCGCCCAACTCGGCGGGAAGCAAACCGGACAACAGACCCGTCAGTAAACCCGGCATGTAGGCGTTGAGCAGGCCCCTGGGGATGTGGAGGGGTGGGAGGAAGGGTGGGGGCGTGCGTGTCTGTGTGTGTGTGTGTACGGCACCGAATCCAGGCAGGATGGGGGCGCCGTAGTGGTACTAGTACTGGGCAGCACATTATACCCCTCTTAGCAAAAGAAGACCATCGTAATTACCTACATTGGCAAAAAACCTGCCCGCCCACACTGCTCCTCCAACTCGCACCGCTGTGTGCTGTCCGGCAATTCGGCCCATGCATGCTCACCCCTGTGGCACCCCCAGGGATTACGCTAATTACGCGCCCTCACTTTCTCCCTCTCCCTCATGATTGTCTTACTCCTCACAAAAAGCTACACAACCCCCCCGCCATACCACGACAAAACATGCAGCGTCAGTCGATGTGCACTTTGGCTCGGCTTCTTCTTTGCTCCCAGGCATCGAAGTGTGGTAGCCCGCTGTAACATAAACAACAACGACAACAACGACAACAACAACAACAACAACAACACGGACATCAGGCTATTGGCAGCCCTCACTTGAGTAGAGTTCTCGGCAGGGGCAGCGTGTTTCCCCGCATGCGGTGATCCAGCTGCAGGATGTTGAAGGACACGGGTTCCGGAGCCAGCCACGCGCCGCCCCCCCCCGCGGTGCCCCCCACCGCATGGAACTCGAACACCGCCGTCACCGCCACCTCCACCTCCAACATGATTTCCCGGATACTGGTATCGGGAACCTGCCCACCACAAGGGGGGTTGTGAACGGGGGAGGGTGGGGGGTGTTGGATGGTGCGGATGCCGGATGTGGCGGCGTGTGTTATGTTGAAATAAATCGGAAGGCGTACGATATACATACATTTAGGCATTACATGTATGTATGTACGCGTGCACGTGTATTTTTGAACTTAGCTATGTGACGGAAGGGTACGTGTCTGTGTGTGTGTGCGTGTTTGGGGCCAGGCAGCAGGCCGGGGCAACAGCAACAGCACTCCTCTAGTTTTCACAAAGAAACAGCCGTTCCATCAACGTTGACCCGGGTGGAATGTTGCCCCGCGGATTGCAACTTTGCCGTGTGTAGCTCTGTCTGCCCTGGAGCATGGACAATGACATACGGATGTACAGCCGCACATCCGCAGCTCTTCCTCTTCCTCCCCGCGGCTTAGGTCATTACGATTACGATACACACACACACACTTACAGACGCACATACATACAATGTCTGTCGCAGTTTAAGCACGGTCGATTGCAATAATTCCCTTGTCAGCAGCTACGCATGCAGGCTTAGGATTACGGTATTGAATCGTAATCGAGAGCACACGCAATTCCATGGCATACACAAACCTGCACACGCACGCGCACCTTTGTCCCCTTCTCCCCTAGCAGCTCCACTCGCTCGCCCAGCAGCTGCACATACACGCCCTTGCGCGAGGGCCGGCACTCGAAGTCCTCCACAAAACCACCCAGCAGGTCCGAGTCACCTTCGCCGCCGTCACCACCCGCCGCTGCCGCTGCCGCAGCCGCAGCCGCAGCCGCTGCGAGTGTTTCAAGGCCCACACACAAGCAACAATACGTCCTAAACAAAATGAAAGGCCAATAAACCACCGTACGCCGTACAATGACGGTGAGGCAACGGTGCGGGGATGCTCATTTGTGCTGTTAGATAGTGGCCGTATCCGTACACGCCTCCGTACATGGCGTCAGTCGTACGCAAATCGGTCAGCCCAAGGGATCACGCTCTCACCGCTCTCTGCGCCATTCCCAACGCCGCCTCCGTTGCCTCCGCTGTTGCCAGCACAACTCTTGGTGGGAAGCAGCAGCTGCGACGGCTGCGGCAGGCCGCCGACGGCGCCGTCATCGCCAGTGGGGCCAGTGGCTGCGGCGCCCCTTGCAAAGTAGTCCGCGTTTGGGTCCGGCAGTAAAAGCACGGAACCGCCAAATATGGTCCCTCCGTCTGATTGCTGCTGCTGCTGTTGCTGATGAAAGCTAGGCGAGGCTGCCACTGAGCTGCAATGCCGGAGGAGGGGGGGATGAAACCTAGGGCTCGGGGACTAAATAATAAGTTGGACGCCATAAAGGAAGCGGAGAGCCCCACCCCACCCCACCCCAACAACCAACACCAATCACTCCTTAACCTAATCGCAGACGACACACACACGGCGCGAACGAACCACCGTACCTCACGGCGCCCTCAGCCTCCCAGCCGACCTCCGCGCTGCCGCCAGCGCTACCGGGGCGACCCGCGGGTCGTATCTTGGTCTTGATGTCCCGCAGCGCCTCCGGCGCCTTGGTCGCGATGGCCTTGCTGATGCGGCTCAACTTGCCACGTCCCTCCGACAGCCCGTCCTGCATTAGAGTGACAGCGTCATCATTCGGACAACTGGCTGGTGGTGATAGTGGTGGTGGTAGTGGTGGTGGTGGGTGATAGTGGTGGTGGGTGACGGTGGTGGTGGGTGACAGTGGTGCGTGGCATGGGGGGGTCTGCGGGGGTCTGCTTGCTGATTTCCTAAAGAGTCGTCGGATGGCCCGATTCCTTTAGTAAAGACAGCAAAGAAGCAGACGCTCTCGGCATGTGGATCGGTGCGCGGGGTGTGGCTGCGACGCCTGCAGTCCAACGCGAAATATGCCTCCCACATAACCCCACCACGGGGCACAAGCGCTAGAGGCACAAGCGCTAGAGGCACAAGCGCTAGAGGCACAAGCGCTAGAGGCACAAGCGCTAGAGGCACAAGCGCTAGAGGCACAAGCGCTAGAGGCACAAGCGCTAGAGGCACAAGCGCTAGAGGCACAAGCGCTAGAGGCACAAGCGCTAGAGGCACAAGCGCTAGAGGCACAAGCGCTAGAGGCACAAGCGCTAGAGGCACAAGCGCTAGAGGCACAAGCGCTAGAGGCACAAGCGCTAGAGGCACAAGCGCTAGAGGCACAAGCGCTAGAGGCACAAGCGCTAGAGGCACAAGCGCTAGAGGCACAAGCGCTAGAGGCACAAGCGCTAGAGGCACAAGCGCTAGAGGCACAAGCGCTAGAGGCACAAGCGCTAGAGGCACAAGCGCTAGAGGCACAAGCGCTAGAGGCACAAGCACTGGAGGTTACTGCGGACATTGAGGGACCTGGGTCGGGGCCCGAGGGGAAAACTCGCGGGTTAAGAACGCACAGCCACACCTGTAGCTTTTCCATCATCTGGGTACGCAGTCGCCCACCACTACCAGCGCCGCCGCCTCCAGGGACGTCCATGTCGTGGTACGACGCCTGTACAGCAGAGCCACCGCCACCGCCGCCGAGCCCTGGCTCGGGCCCGAACCCCGGCCCCAGTCCCCCAGCCCCAGTTCCTGCGAGGCTTTCTGGACGGTCACGATCCCCTACCAGACCGCCCACCATGCTCTTGAGCTTCTCCTTCTTGTTCTTTAGCCCCGACAGGAAGTTCGCTACACCCTCACCCTTGGAGCGCGGCGGCGGCAGCGGAGGCGGGGGAGGCGCAGGCGTGTAAACGTCGCCGGATAGCGCTCCCGCCGCCATCATAGGCCGCGATGCGGGCTGCAGCGGCCGTTGTCCTGGCGGCTGCTGCTGCTGCTGCATGACATGTTGTTGCTGTTGTTGAAAGTGCTGCTGCTGTCGCAAGTATTGCTGCTGTAGGTGGGGCGGTAGGCCTGGCGGCAGCGCCTGTGACCGCTGCTGCTGCTGCGGGGAAGGCAATGGCGGCTGTTGTTGCTGCGGCGGCGACGGCGGCTGTAGCGGCTGTTGCGGTGCTGCCGGCGGCGCCAGCGCTGAAGCCCGGGGGCTGAAACCTCCACCTACGGGCCCCCCCGTGCTGGTGGCGGTACTGGCCGCGACGGCTGCGGTGGCGGCAGTGGGGGTCGTCGCCGGCGATGGCGTCGTCCCCGGCGTTGAAGGCCCTGACCGTCCGGATGGTGTGGAAACTTGTGTATTTGGCTGCTGCTGCTGCTGCTGTAGTTGATGCTGTGGCGGTAGCTGCGGCTGCGGCGCTTGCCTGCCGCCGAATTGGGCTGCCAACGCGGAAGGGTCCTGCGGGGCCAACCAGTCAACCGCCCACACGGCTTTGCTCAGGGGTACACGCATGGAGCGCGGAGGGGGGGCCTAGGAGCCTCGGCTTGACTTGGCAGGCACAAGGCTAGGGGTAGTGCAGCCCCCCGAGCCACCTTGACGGCCTTCCAGTCGTGCATATTCCAACTCGTCATTTTATTATTATTATTATTATTATTATTATTATTATTATTTTCCCGGTCACATAGAAAAGCCCTAGACTCACCAGTCCGCCGCTGCCGCTGGCGTCACCTTCCGCCACTGCGCCCGCCTCCGCCGCCACTGCGCCCGTCGCCTCCGCCTGCACACTCTGGGCGGACACAGTGCTGTTTGCGTGGCTTTGCCGGCTGCTGGCAGCGGCGGTGCCAGGTCGTACGGAAGAGTCGGCGGAACCTGGCGGCAGCGGCGCTGCTGCTGCTGCCGCCGCCGCCTGCTGCAAGCCGCCTCGACGGGCCCTGCTCAAAAAAAACACGGCAGACGGCGATGACGGACGGGGTACGACACGAAACACAGACAAATTGTCGAAAAGGAAATACCATAGACGGATCCTCCAAGATCCGTAGGAGTAAATGGACGGAAGGGGGGCAACGCGAGGCGGGGAGGGGGCCCGAGGAAAAGGGGCAGTCCAAGGCGCTCATTGAGATTGGAAATGTAAAGCGCATATTGAAGGTATGTGAGCAGAAGGCCAAGGCGGTAAAGGTAACCGCGATCGGCCGGGAGGCATATCGAGTACAGGCCTCGACTTTAATTTAAAACGTACGCGTACCGCACACAAGACGGCGGCGGCGGTGTCGCCCGCCAATGATAATTGCACCGTGCATCGTGCGGCATGGTTTCGTGCGGGGTAAGGCACTTACTCGCTCCATTCCGCAAGTGCCGTGGATGCCGACACGCCGCCCAGCGCCACCGTCAGGCGCGCGACACGGTTCCCCTGAGCCGCCGCTGCCGCCGCCGCTGCCGCCGAGGTAGCGCCGCCGCCGCCGCCGCCGCCGCTGGTGGCTGCGGTGACGCCGGCCCGGTGCTTGATCGGCTCGCAAGTGAACTCGAAGCGGCCGCTAACCTCGCTAACGTGCAGGTCCCGTGCGGCCACGTAGATGCCGCCGCTACCACTGCTGAACCTGAACAAGGAAAAGCCATATTGAAGTTTGGTGGCAAGGAAGGAAACTAAAGAAAATTTCGGAAACTCTAATCAGGATTTGAGTCGCAGATTTTTTCCATGGCTTTGCAGGTAGTCGCTGAAAAAGCATTATCCTCCTTTCCCTTGAAGTAAATAAAGGGACGAAAAGGCAGCTGCAGGGCGTCTGCGTCCTCTTCCCTCGCCGCCCTCCCTCGTCCCTCCTCCCTCCGCCACACGCCGGGTTTTCTCTTCCCGCCCACACACCATTCCCGCCCACACACCCATTCCCGCCCACACACCATTCCCGCCCACACACCCATTCCCGCTCACACACCATTCCCGCCCACACACCCATTCCCGCCCACACACCCATTCCCGCCCACACACCATTCCCGCCCACACACCCATTCCCGCCCACACACCATTCCCGCCCACGCACCTATTCCCGCCCACACACCCATTCCCGAATACCTGTAACCCTTGACTTCCGGAAAATAGAGTTGCTGCTTGACCCGGTCCAGCCTCGTCGTGGTCTTCTCCAGCTGCTCCTCCAGCCGCGCTACCTCGGCCCACCCGCTCTCCTCCGCGCGGCGCCGCTCGGCCTCCACACGGCTGCTCGCGTCCAGACGGGCCAGATCGGAGCGCAGCGCCTGCATCTCCTCCGCCAGAATGCGACGAGTATCCTACGGGTTTGGTAGACAGACAGCAAGAGGGAAGCATTAGCAGCTGGGGAAGAAGGGGAAAAGGGTGGCATGAAGGGTTTTGGTTTTGGGCGGCGACGTCGGGGTCGGGGGTTATGGGGAAGCTAGGGAAGCCCAGCAGTTGCTGAAGTAAAGGTTCAACGAGCCGTGTCTGTGAGAGGGAGGGAGAGAGTGTCTATTAGAGGAAGGGCAGTAGAGAAATGTTATTTTAGTCGGGTAGGTGTCTCATCGACGGAAGCACGGAAGCACGTGGAGATTCCACAGGATGGTAGCTGGTCTCAGAATGGTGTTAGCAGGATGTCTGGCGAGTTCAGCGTTTAGTGAAGAAGGGGGAGGAAGGTATCGAGAATGGGAGGAAGGATGTTGCCATGCCCATGCCCTGGCATGAACTTACAAGATGATGCGGCCTTAACGGGCTCAGAAATGGTCCAAGAGGGGGAAAGGGTTCGGTTGTTTGGCACGCTTGAGTTAGGGAGGGAAAGCTGACTCCTATCGCAGGGGAATAACAAAGACATGTACACCTGCTTTATGTGGACTTGCCTGCAACACGACGCATTTAGTTGACAGATATTCACGTTCGTATGCTCGCTCGCAGGTGGCGAGTTCCTGATTGGCATTCCTTATTTCGATGTCGGTGGCCAACACCCGACTGTGCAATTCGTCGAGTTCACGCTGCAAGAGAGCGGGATCCTTGTTGCCATGATGAGAGTTTGAGGAATCTGACCGGGAATGTTTTTGGCCCGGCCTCGAGCCTTGTGTCGCACTGCCGGAAAGCGAAGAAGCCTGTTTTGCCGACAGCTCCGCTACGAGCCGCTTCTTGTCTCTCTTGATTATGTCACAAGTCTGCGATGCGTGCATCGTGTGGATTAGGCACAGGCCATGACGACGATGGCGCTCTGAAATATTCTTCTACCTGGTTTAGGGAAGCTATAAGAAGCTCAAGGCTTGGTCGCTCATCTTCCCAGCGCCTGACTTTAGCCTTCTCCTCATCCTTGATGAGGTTGAAGAGCTCTGTGCATGTTGCCCGGCATTGCGTCAGGGATTTTGCAAATCCCCTTTCCCTGTCCATCTTCCCACAGTCAATCATTTAATTATCCACATCTTTGGGAATAACATGATATGTCGAGGAACCGGGGGGCCGGGAATCGGGAGTCGGGGGAGAATAAGTTGGACGTTAGGGGTTGGTTCGGTCGTTTTCGTACGAAAGGTGGTTCCAACCGGACTGCCAATACCACTAACTTAATCATTGCGCCTGGAAAGGTTACGCGCATCTTTTTACATGTGGTAGTACATAAATCCTGGTCATACCAGCTCGCTAGATTTTCGATTCCTTGGGTTTATTGTATCAGTTCACCGCAACGCTGGGAGGAAAAACAGCCGGACGTTATGCAGACGTTCAATAGCAACTCACATTTAATGAGACATGCAAAATGCCTTTGGAGACCATCCTCTATTGCTCGTCCATGCCGCTTGCAAATCAAGGCCTCATTTACGCTCACGGATAGCAAGGGAAAATCGGCAACATACACCAAGGTCTGTGATACTTTCTATTTCGCAAACTATGACGCACATTTTGAGCTGTAAACCCCTGTTGCCCATCTTCACATTCGTTGTCGTACACTCCTCGCCCTCACACATACACGGAATTCACCTTTGGCCAGCGCTCCTGCACCTCACATCTGCATTACTCCCCGTCTGCACTTCTAGCGACGAACTTTGAGTGCCGCCTGCAGGCCCAAGTTACAATCGGAAGCTCGTCGTCATGCGACATCAGGGTCACAGGGCCGCAAGGTACGCGGCCCCTTCCTCGCTGTCCACGTGAAACCCATGCCGCCCCTCCGGCGCGCAACCTCCCAGCAGTAATTTTCTCCACTAGCTACTCCTAACTCTGACAAGCTGGCTGTACCTGAAACCTCTACTGAGCCCTGCGTCCCCTATCGGGCTGTGCTGGCCTTCCTTCGGAATCTTTCCTTCCTCTTCTGGTTCTACCTCATGTATGCATCCCCATTTCAACATCTCCGCACACTTCTTCCGCATCACTCCCAACCGACATGAGCCGTTTCACTGCCTCTAACAACAACGCCACGTAATGACCTGCGTGCGCCGTTCGTATTCCCTCCCGTACGAGGCCTCTCCAGTGGCGGAGCAGCATGCAACGATAATTCAGAAAGGTAGGAGGCAGCGGAATTTACTGAGGAAGGAAGCCGATAGAGTCACCGGCGGACACTTCAAAGATTCGCTTTATTCCCCGGGTCCTCCTGTCCCGAGGGCCAGGGAAACCTGATGGGAATCTTCACGATGGAAGTCAAGTGGAAGTTATAAAGTCTCAGGAGGGCCGGAGGAAGGACGGGCGGGCGGGAGGGAGGCAGGAGGGAGGGAGGAGAATTGGAAAGGCTGCAAGGACGCAGACACAACGCATTGTGGGGATGTGGAGGAGAAGGGGGAGATAGATGCACCAAGCCCACGAATGCGTGTAACAGTCCAAAGGGGCTTGTGTCCTGGTTGCTCCTGGGCGGCTACGGAAAGGGGACCGGGGCTGGGGACCGGGGCTGGAGCAGGCCGGCAAGCGTGTAATTATGATTGTAGGGCTGCAGGACTTCCTCCAAGCCCGGTTACCAACCGGCTGGCGCCCTATTACCTCCCATGCACCTTTCCCTCCTCGTTCTCGTCCTCGTCCTCGTCTTTGTCCGGTCCAGCCTCCAGCTCCTCTCCGGCTTCGCTCGTCTTTCGCGCTTCCCTTCCCCCCTCTCTCCACCTCGCCCACTGCCATCCCATCTCCCCCTCCTGGCTCCTAGCCCCCACACCCGCACATTCCTGTACTGCAGACACACACGCACATGTAGACAGGCAAACAGACGGGCAAACAGACAGATGTTCATTTCTTCGGCCCTTCAGGCAAGCATCAGACGTTTTTGAAGTCGCTGGTTGGCGAGGACATGCTGGATGACTCTCGCACCTGGCAGGATGGGGAGCCGCTGCGTCCGCGGGTTAGCTACGTGCTGGCGTCAGGCTGCAAACTGGCCTTTGGTGGGTTTCTGTGGCTTAACTCGGGTTGTGGCTGCGGAGGCTGAACGAGGCGTATCGGGGTTCAAGCGCCGGGACGGGGCCCCTGCAGAGGCGTAGGTATCGAAACCTGGCGGAGATGGCGGAGAATGTATGTCCGGACATGGGGGATAAGAGGAGGAGGTGGAAGGTTGATGGAACCCGGAGGTCGGCTCGCCGGCGGAGAATAGGTGTGGTCGAGGAAGGTGTGATGGGGTTTTTGGAACGTGTGTGTTTGTGTGTGTGGGGGGGAAAGCGGGAAAGGGGCGGGGAAAGGCCCGTGGCGTGTGGGCGCAGCGGATCGGCCCTCATGCGGGTTGAGATGCCTCTGCGACCTCTGCCTGCTTAATCCCTGGACCTCTCCTCCTCCGTATCCTCCGTATCCTCCTGCTGCTGCTGTTGTTGTTTCTGCTGTTACTGCTATCCTTGAGGGTGTTGCTTGTTGCGCACCTCCCTCCTGGTGCTTTCCTGCGTACATCTGGATGAGCCTTTTCCCTCTCTACTTTTCCACATCTGTTCGTTATGCAAGTGGGCTGCGGTTCTGTGCAGAGATGGGTACTGCGTAGAGGTGTGTATGCGCCGTTTTTGCCCACGCCTCCGTGCTCCCTCGCCTTCTTCCTCTCCCACAGCTTCTCTTCCTTTCCTTCTCCGCCTCCCCTGAATCAGGCACTCCTGACCAGGTGTACACAATTGCATTCGAGGAGGGCACCGGGAGCAACCCGCTTGTGGAGATGATGATGAAGGTGAAGACGTGTCTTGGGAGCTGGCGTGTACGGTGGGGGTTTGACAAGGAGTTCCTGTGGGGGGAGAGCTAAACGCGAAGGATGCAACTCCCGGCTGATCCTGTAGGAGGGAGGCGCAGGAAGGCGAGAAGGCTGCGGTAGTGCAGGGTTGTAGAGAGGAAAACTTGAGGACAGGGCCTGGTCGGTACAGGGGCTGGAGGCCTCAGCCCACAGCGTCAGTGGGAATAGGTAGGTGGGTGGGGCGCTGTGAGACGCATGTTCAATTGCAGGAGGGTTAAAGTGGGGAAGTTCCTCTGCATACAGCGTTGTCTTTCCCTCTTTTGGTCCTTTCTTTGCGGATCCGTTCAGTTACCGCCGGTCGCTGCGAAAATATACACCTTGGCTTCCTAACATGTTAAAAATGCTTAATAAATCATGCTTGGAACTTGTGTGAATTTGCTGAATTTGCTGAATTTCCTGGCTTTTCCTGTGTGCTCCGCAGGGCATGTTGGCAAACAGCAGCGTCGAAGTAAAGAAGGCGCTGGGCAGCTGAGAGTCGATGTTTGTCGCATAATGTCACATCTGTTCTGTCCTTAGACTAACTGAGCTAACTGAGCATGACTAGCGTGCGATGGCTTTATGGGAAAGCTTGCTGGGTGTATGTGACGACTCGTAAGGGTGATGCAATTGGATTCATTTTCCTGATTATTTTCCTTTCTGTGGTCGTGGCAAGCACACAAGTAATCATCGTGAGGCGATCTTATGTAAGCAATAATTGTGAAGAGCTGCGCGGGTTGCCCAGGGCTGTGCGTTCGTACGTCCGGTGCTGTTTTTGTTTGTTTTAATTTGTTTCCACCCAGCGTTTAGCAGTTTGGTAATTTTGTAATTTGTTACAAGCCGTCCGCTGCCAACGAGACCGCACAGGAATCCCAGAGAGCCCCAGGCCGCAAGTTCCGGATGCCAGGGGCTGAACCGGCTGAACCGGGACCCAAGGGCCCAGGAGGACCCAGGGGCCAGTGTTACGGTGCCTAGGGTGTTCCCGCGCCTGGAACTTTACACAGAGCTTGACAAGGGATGTTTAAAGTGGTGTGATGCGCTTCAGTCGTCCGGATGGCGCCGTGGCGGTTCTGTTCGAAGCCCAGCCAGGGTCGGGTCGAAAATAACTGACAAGCCCCGAGGCACAGCTTTGCCATTATGAGGAAATTGCTGGTGCTAGCTGACCGCATTTTCTTGGTTCAGATGCCTCGAGATTGATGCCGCAGCGGTCAAAACTAGCTCTGTTTGTACGTCACAACGTACGACAAAATGCGCGAAACGTAATTGGCGTTACAGCTCAGGGTGGGTTCTCTTCAGCTTGCCATCTCGTTACTGACGAGCGGCAGAGCTGTGGCGACGAAAGCTGTGACGACAGACCCGGTGCTGATAACTTTCGTTAGGTGTTGCTTTTACAAGTTACAAATTAGAAGCCTCACGTGCTCGCCTTCGTAAGATACCACCACTGTCGCTTCTTTCGTGATTCGAGGCCGACTGTGCTCTCCTCCCGCGCATTTCTCGCGGCGCCGCCCCCAAACTCTTTTTGTTCTCCTTGCAAAGTAGTAAACACTCCTCATCATGCCGAGCGATCGTAAGAAGAAGGCCGCAGCCTCTAAGGGCAAGCCGAAGGCAGCGACTTCCAAGGCGAAGCCTGAGGATGAAGCGGGCGCGCAGCCAGATGAGGTTGACGAGGACGGCACGGATGGAACAGATGGAACCCCCATGATGTCAGCGAATGCGTCGGCTGTTAACCTGGAAGCTCTGGCCGCCGCTAGCAAAGGTGTGAAGGAGCTCAGCGTGCAGGATGCAGGCCGTTCATGCACGGGTGTGCTTGCTAGTCACCCGCAAAGCCGCGACGTACACGTTGCGAGCTTTACGCTCCTATACTACGGCCACGATTTGCTGGTTGATGCCGACCTGGAGCTCAACTTTGGGCGGTAAGCCGATCGGGTCGCTTCCCTCCCTAACCCGCCGGGGCGCCGTCGGGTTATTCGTCTACTCGCCTGCTTGCTGTAACCCGGAAAAGTCCCCTATCACAATATTTAGCCTCTGAAGGCATAGCTTCGCGTTAGGACGTCTCCACAGGATGGTGTCCGTATATACATCATGTCGTATATGAAGTGGGGTAAACTGTGTATAGACCGGCATAGCTCTGCATGTCCCATCACCATTTATCGTTCTGGCGCTGCCTGCCTGCTTGCGAGTGCGTATGGGGTTGCGTGTGTACCACGTTGGGCGGGGTGTTTTTACTCCGGTGGATCAAAAACGAACACCCACAGATCATCATAGCAGCAGCAGTAGTAGGTAGTTTGCCGCTGATGCCACGATGCATCCCGACATGCCCCGCATGCGTCCGCCCCCTCTCCTCTAACTTTGGACGTCGGGGCAATTGTTGTTTTCCCTTCTTGACTTTGCTGCCCCCTCCCGTGTATTTCCCGCCCCTGGCTGGATATCCAGACGTTACGGCCTTCTGGGGCCCAACGGCTGTGGGAAATCGACGCTACTGAAGGCGCTGGCGGCTCGCGACGTTCCCATTCCCAATCACATTGACATCTACCTTCTGGACCGGGAGATTGAGGCGAGCGACATGACGGCGCTGGAGGCGGTCATGGCGGTGGATGAGGAGAAGGTGCGCGTGGGGCCCGGCTGGCAGCCATCAGCCCTGGTGCTCTGTTCCGGCTTCACCCCCCCACCCCGGCGGTTGTGCGTCGCGCTGTGTGAGGGTGGCGGGTGCTGTGGACTGACTGGGGAGTTGAGTTCTCTGTTGCTCCACCGGTTTGAAGGGGTCGTGTTGTGGGGTACGTGGGTAGAGGCGGGCCGGACAGGGGTGGCGTCAAGTGTATGCGATGGATCGGGCCCCTGGGGGTGTGGAGTGTTCTCTCTAAAAAGTGGCGGTGGTAGTGGCGGTGGCGGCGGCGGCGGCGGCGCAGAGGGAATGGTTAAGGGGGGCGCCTCTAGGGATGTGGGTCATGCGGGGGGAAGCGGTGGGGGAGGTTTGGGGCGGGTGGCAGAGAGGTTTGCACACGGACGTGTGGGACCCACTCCTCTAGGGGTGGGAGTGGGCGTGGGAGCCATCGAAATGAGGAATAAGGAATGCCGGCGCCCCAAAGGGGCCCAGTCCAGGGAACAGGAGAGGATGGGGGAGATTTGAGTCCGTGGGGGGGTCCGAGGGGAACTTTGCGTTCCTCGCTGCGGGGTTGGGATTGGGCTTGGAGGGGGAGGGAAAGGGAAAGGGGGGCCCCACATGATATCAATTTCCGACCCACACACTCTCCACCTCACTCCATCACCTTGGGGGCCCTACCGAGCATGGAGGAGGAGGAGGGGGACCAGTTTCCCGTTGGTGCTGTTTTGAATGTCGGCAGTTGATCCGCGATCTTGCATCGTCGTGTGTTGTTGTCATCGTCATTATTATCATCATCATCATCACGGGGTTTCCCGTAGGGTTCACAACTGCCACCAACTGCCACCAACTACCACCAACTACCACCTCCGTGGGCTCGATTTCTTCTTTGGCTCTCATTCCCTTCCGACATCACCAACCTCGGTGCCCGATCACCACCTCCTCCGTCCTCCCTTAAATTCCAATAAAGGCAATTGGCCACACCCTTGGCACCGCTTTTTTGGTGATTTGCCATCTGCTGTCGCTCTCCCTCCCGTCCCTTTGCTCACACAGACTCGTATGGAGCAGGAGGCTGAGGCGCTGGCGCAGATGGACATGACGGAGGATGTGGAGCAGCGGCTTTCGGATCTGTACGAGAGGTGAGGCTTTGGTGAGGGGGGAGATATGGGGGGGGAGGGGGAAATGGTGGGGGTATGGAGAGGGGCATGCTGATAGCTCCAGGTCAGTGAGGAGGAGGGAGGGGAGGCAGTGAGGAGTCACCGGAGGGAGGGGTGGGGGTGGGGCTGCGGAGCCGGGGGTGGGGCCAGGGGCATTCTTGAGCCGCCCCAATGAGGAGCGGAGATCCGGAGATACTGGAGATGTCTGAATTTATTGGAGGGATAGGGTGTGGGCGCCACCAACGGGAAGGGGGGGGAGAGACAGAGAGTGTTTGTGCATGGGTAAGCTGCTGCCGGTGCCGCTGCGGCGCCGGGCAGCGCTGGCCGTGTGCGGCGAATGCCGCATGGCCATGAAGCAACGACGGCTATGGCCTGGGGGCCGGCGCTGGAAGAGAGCTGCTCACTCAGCACCGGCCCCTGGGTCGCTGCTGCGGGGTTTGCAGCTCACTGCCCGGGCCGGCCGCTGTGCTCAATCTCTCGGCATTCCGCTTGTGTGCGTCAGATAATGAAACATTCAAATTATCCACACACCAGATGCCCCACTCGCCGCCGCCGCCACTGCCGCCACTACATCTCGTCCCGCTAGGCTTGAGGCCCTGGACAGCGACCTGGTGGAGGTGCGGGCCGCCTCCATTCTGCACGGCCTAGGGTTTACCAAGGAGATGCAGTGCAAAAAGACACGCGAGTTTAGCGGAGGTGTGTGTGTGGGAGGGGGGGGCTAGGGGCGCTAGGGGCGGCGAGGCTCGCAGGGGGATGGGGTATAGGAGGAGAGGGGCGTTTGGTTCAGCAAGCGTGAGTGAGGGAGGGAGATGCAGTGAGGCGTGGAGGGCAGGGTAATTGTGGTTTGGGGTATGGTAGTAAGGGAGGGTGGCCAGGGCTGTGGGGGATTAGGGTGTTTACTCCGTGTGCCGAGAGAGAGACATGACCAACCGGGGCGTGTTGGTGAGGGGGTTTTACGAAGGGGGGGGAAATAGACGACGCCCTGTGAGTAAGGGGGGGGGAAGTGCTGCTGCTCATGAGGGGCGATTGCGGCATCGTCCCTCTTTGGTTGGTGAGCTTATTCCAACCGGTTTTTTTTATACCATGTATCATATTGTATGTAAATATGTACGTATATTGAAGGACAGGCACGGCAGATGGGAAGGCCCAAAAGGAGGAGAGGGGAAACTGGTTGTGTGAGATCTGTTTGTTGGTTGGATGCCCGGGAGTGAATTGAGGGGGTGCACACAGACAGGTTCAAGAGACAGACACACACACACACACACAGACACACGTGTTGCTTTTGGAGTGCATCATCATCATCATCAGCAGCAGCAGCAAGAGTAGCACTGCCAAAAGCACCCCCCGCTGTTCCGTGTTGCCATGACCCGGAGGTCCACCACCGGTCTCCGGGGGCAGCTCTTCCCTCGCTTCCTCCCCCCCTTTGTGTGGGTTCCTCATCCCGTCGCCATTCCCCCTCCGTCGTCAACCCCCTCCCCACATCACTCTCTTATAGTCTTGTGCCACGAGGACAGACGCGACCGCACCGCACCCGCCCGGCCCTGTCCCCTGCTTCAGGTTGGCA